ATTGCGGACTGTTCGCTGGCAGATATGGATCCGATCGACGGGCAATTCAATCGGCGCACCGTTCCATATCTTCGAGCGCTGCATACTGTCGTAGGACGTTCCCGCGGTCGCGTGCGCCTTGCCGCGGAATTGCGCGCAAGATCTGCGCTTCTAGCGCTTGGGATCAACACCTCCTTTCGGCAACGCTTCTCTAGTATCCCGTCTCATCTGGTTGTTATCTTATCATGTGCATCCATCCAAAAGTCATATCGTGTTCATCCAGATGAGACGGGATACCAGAGAAGTGTTGCCAAAAGGAGGTGTTGATCCTAACCGCTGAGCGCGGATGTTGCGCGCAGTTCCGCGGCAAGGAGCACGCGACCGCAGGAACGTCCTACGACAGTATACAGCGCTGGCAGCTATGGATCCGTGCGCCGAATGCATAGGCCGGCGCACGGGTCCATAGCTGCCAGCGAACAGTCCGGAATTTTAGCGGGGCACACAGGGCAGAGATTTGGGACGTGGGAGGAACTCGCGACTTAGATGGGGGCTCGTACAGATGGGGGTGGGCGAGAGCGAAGCTTTTGATTTTGCGGTGGTTCCATTTCCGTGTGGTCTTAGGCGTTTTCACTATAAGTTGTACAGCGCCCCATGACGCCTGTCCTATGTAACACTTGATATGTGAACATCAGAGAGATCGCACCATGATTGCATGAAGAAATGGATGAGGATGTTGTATGAGAGAGTATGCACATTATGTGGCTATTCGTAACATCGAACTGATTCCTCTGCGTATTGCTCTGCTCTGTGCTGCTACAGAACGTCATGACAGCAGTACCTACGTCGTGTTGAAGGGAACTGTCGACAGCCGTCATGTTGAAAATGTCGGCGATGTTGTTTTGCCTGAAGTTCTTCATGTAACGTGATGTTGTGCACACAATCGCCAACTTCCTCAATATGATAGATTTGGATGACATTTGTCACGTGTAGTTAGACTTATATTGCTGAACGGCGCATATATGACTGCCGGAGAATGTATAACTGTTGTGTATAAAAGTTGCAAAGATATTAAAAATCCGACCGTTATTTCATGACAAATTTCATGAAATAGTGATACGAAATAGTATGCGGATTGTGCGCCCATTTACCTCTTTCAAATCATACGCTGTTTACAAATCTCCATTCGCTGGATTTCCCCCGAGCTCCGCCCGCTTTAAAAATAGTGCTAGCATTGTGGCAGTGGTATCTTGAGTGTGCGAAGTGGCAGTGGTATCCTGGACCTGGTTCCACATTCGTGGATTAACTTTAACCCTGAGTTAAGACTAACTCTGAGTTAAACTCACTAACTCTGAGTTAGTAAACTCCGAGTTAAATTTTGGTTTCATAAACATGGATTAAATCCTGAGTTAAGTAACTCAGAGTTAACTCAGAGCAAGACTCAAAGTAACTCAGAGTTAGTATCCCATAATTGCACATAGAACAGACGAACATGATAGACGCATGATAGACGCATGATAGACGCATGATAGACGCATAGACGATAGACGCATGATAGACGCATAGACGATAGACGCATGATAGACGCATGATAGACGCACAAACATGGTAGAAGGTGTAATGAAAAAACGTTATAATGAAAACCGGCAGCGATAAATAAATGAGGAAAAATATTTTGCCAATGCGGGGATTGAACCAGCAACTTTCGCGCCATGCAGTAGCACGGCGCTTTAACAACTGCGGCTATTAATGCCGGCCGTTTGTTATAGCCGGCCGAACCACACCATCCTCAGGAAAAGTCGTAACAAAATGCTATGCATATAGCCTCGTTGCGCCATCTATCGCACACCATATTTACTACACTGATGAACAAAAACAAACAAACAACAAAGTTCAACTCCGTTTTTTACATCAAACCAAGCGCGCCGAGTACCGAACTAAGAATTACGACCATTTCTAGCAAATGTCTAGGTACGTGGGTATAGTCAAACCCGTCGTGCAATCGCCAGAACTGCTCAATTCAGCGAACTTCCCGCATACTTGCTATATAGTAAACCCGTGTAATTTGCTATTCAATGAGGGCAGCGTTGTTGTGTTAGTGTGCCGCCACGCGGCGTTTTTCGCGCTTCATTGTCCAGTGCTTTGTGCAGCTAACTGCACATTCGTTGGCTTCTGTGAGGTCATCTTCAGTGCATGGAGCTTGGAGTTGTGGGCAGATAAGAAGATTTTGCATTGTCTGCGTTTCACCGCAGTCACAGGTAGTGGATCGAGTCACTCGAATATCCCCCACTTTGCCATGATGTCTTTAGTTTGTCTTCACTGCTATCTTGTCTTTAGATCTGCCAACCTGGGTACGAAGTCTGTTGAGACCTTTCCAGGTGCATCAGCTGTTCTGAGCTTCCTTTTGGAGTTCCTCTGCTGGTGTCATACCCAGATCACTAGTTAAAAGATGTGTGTTGATGATATTGCAGAACTTCGTCCGTGGGGACACTACTCCGTTGTAGTGCAGGGGTTCAACGATGCCGGGAGAGGTGTTACGAGTCCTCCTGTCATCGTCAAGACCTACCCTGAACCACCGTCCGGTCCGCCGCAGCGTGTGTCAGCCGAGGTGTTTAACTCCAGTGCTATTAATGTACGTTTGCAATATCTACTTATACCTGCAGTTAGTAAAGAATATTCTGAGGTGCACTGCATCAATGGCAAGGTCGACTCTTCACATATATATGATGCTACTCTAGAGTTATCATTGGAGAAAGCAGGGGCGTAGATAGCGGGGGGGATGGGGGGGATGCATCCCCCCCCACTTATTGACGTGGGGGATGGCGTGTACAATCATCCCCCCCTACTTTCAGGAGGAAAATGGGGATTCAAAATTTTCTGGGGGAGGACCTGCATACCCCCGCCTGTTTCTTACCACCTTCCTCGAAAACCTGCATTGGCCACTGTCGAGCGTAACAAATTGAGCACCCCCACTTCAAAAATTGTTCCGCGGCGCCTGTAGAGTACTGCTAACAAAGATTATGATTATGAATATTTGTATGCATATCAAAAGTCATCTGACAGGGGCGTAGATAGCGGGGGGATGGGGGTATATTCACCCACACTTATTAAGGTGGGGTGGCTTTCATCCCCCCTACTTTCAGGAAGAAAATGGGGAAAAATTTAATATTTTACAGACAATAAATACTGGATATTTATCTACAAATCCGTCATCGCTATTCATACTCTCCTAATGTATTATTACAGAAATGGAACGTGACATACATCTACTGTAACATGGCTGTAACTCGTTCCAAGAATGACATTATTTTACTGAAACTCAGACGGTTAATTTTGGACGAGTTTCCCATATACGATTTTTTATTCAAAATCCTCAAAGTCTTATCACTGCTCACGAAAGTTAAATCCTTGCTTTATTCAAAATTATAATAGACCTTTTGAGAGTTGGGATGTTGAATCTTCACGGGGATTGAATGGGAAAATTCTATTTTATCTCACTTTTGGGGAGGGGATGGGGGTGCTGAGACCCGACCGGAAGTATATTCCTGATTTTGTATAAGGGGTGGAAAAATGCACTTTTTTGTTCAAATCTGGTTGTTTTTCTCATATTTTTTTGCATTTTTAACGCTCTCAGTAAAATATACGTTTTATCAAAATTTCAGGGGGAGATGATTCCAGTGCTGTAGTTGTCAACGGGGGGTCGGTAGCACGGGGCGGTCGCCCCCCCCCTAGAATTTTCAGGGCAAAGGTATTTTAGCCTAGGTAAGTCTGCACTGGTAACCCCAGTGAGGACATGTACATAGCACAGATTTGGTAGTAAGTATTTTAGTCTGGTGTCCCCAAAGGTAAAAATACTCAACTTAACAGTGATGTTATTGTGATGAAGATTGTTTAATAGTGCTGCCTCATAGTGCAGGAAATTGCATCGAAGAGGTGTTACTTTCAACAAAATTCCCGGGCCCCCCCCCCCCCTAAACAGGAAGGGGACACGCCCTGAAGGAGGAAAAATCCTGATATTCTATGATAGAGATGTACAAAATTGAGGCTTTTTAGATTGCAACTATTCAACAATTCTACAAATGGGGAGGCGTGACACCGCAACCCCCCCCATCCCCCGGATGCGCTAGTGCCCATGAGCTCGCGATGATTCGCCCCCCCCTGAATTTTCTTCTTGGACGCCACTGGTTGTGTGTGTGTGTGTGGAGAGAGGGGGGGTTTGCGTGTTATTAAACCTCTGGGATGCAAAGGAAAAAATTACCCTAGAATTCACAAAATTGCACTTACAGTTACAATATCAATTTTTTTCAATTCCCTCAGAAACGGCTATCTTGAAGGTTCTAAATTGCTAAAATCCAAGAGCTTCCAGGGGCTCCGCCCCCTGGACCCCACCCATTAAGGGCTTTGCGCCAAGGCGCTCGCGGTGTGCGCTACTCGCGCACACTCTTCATATACATTGTCATGGAAGTAACAGCGAAATCATCCCCCCCACAACTGAGGACCTGTCTACGCCACTGGGAGAAAGTGACTTTGATCATTAAATGAATGAACAATCAGCGAATCAATTAAATCCTATTGGTGTTCTTTAGCTACTGTTATAAACTAGCAGTGCTTTTCCTTTAGACAGTATATGTTAGTCTAATATTCTTTGCCCGAGACACACAATGCATGTACATAATATTTGCTGCTTAGGTTGCTTGGTTGCCAGTGGCTCCCCCTCTGAGGAACAGTGAGATTCATGGCTACGTTGTGGAGTATATAAGCAGGAGTACTGGGGATACAGGCAGACTCTACATATCTAGTGATGCTCCACCAAACTCGGGCACTGACCAGCAGTTTTCTGCCGTCATCGGGTACGGATAGAGAACAATTTGCTGTAATTTATAAAGGAAGTTTGGGCCAGCTTTTACAACACTACAGTTGTAATAATCACATTTAAAAATTGGCATGCTCTTCATTTTAACAATGCATTGCTGTTAATTGTAAAAAATAATTGTAGCATAGTTCAACATAAAGAATTTTTATCAATTTTTCGTCAAACCATTTCAGACCCATAATTAAATACGCTATATTAATGCTTATGATTTGTTTCTAGGTCACTTCATCCATGGGCGCCATACAGGATACAGGTGGCAGCTTACACTAATCAGGTGCCAAATGGTTTCGGACCATTCAGTGTTCCTCTGGCGATCTGGACCCATGAATCCTTGCCAGGTCACATCTCCAACCTTGTCGTAATATCGCCAGCACCTGAAACACTGCACCTCTCATGGGACCCACCGCTGCGAAAAAACGGACGACTGGTGGGATACGTGTTGTACGTCATCGGACGCAATGGATCGGTCGTTGACAATCAGATGACAATCGTTGAGAATCTACAGGTGGGTGACGTTGCAAGCACGAAGGGAAGTGGACGAGTGACAAACTATTCGACTGCAGAAGGGAGTCGGACAATGATGAACTCTGGCATCTCGTCCAACCGTCAGACAAGACACGATCCGGCGGTGCAGCTGGGACTGGGAGCAAACAGGAAGTCACGCAGCGCCCGCACACTGTTGCCTAGCAACTACGTGACAGGGACGTTACCTGCAGAGATCGACTACAAAACGTTGAAAAATAAGACGGAGCCAGTATTCACGAATGACACTTCTCTGACCATCGTCCACATGAATGCTGACCTGTCCTACTCCATCTCTGTAATGGCTGTCAACTCCATAGGTGTTGGGAGTCCTGTCAATGCGACAGGCATCACAGGTGAGTGTAATGTTTTTCGTGACTGCGCCCGTTTCGTTTATGCATGTAAATCATGTAAGAGTACTCAGGTCATTGTAATACATGTTATCAGAAGTAGATCTACTATATTGCCCTATTATCTACTTCTGATGTTACTATATGAAAACCATTTGTTGGATCTACAGTACAGCGGCAACTGACCACCGTCACAGAAGCGAATGTTTTCACTGTAACAAGCATGGAAAGGAATGAAACGAATACGATGAAGAACCATACTCAGCCGACGGTTGTCAGCACGGAGGTGGAGGCGAATCAAACACTTCCATCCGGGCCAGTCACTGAGCAGTGGCTATCAATCATCATAGGTCAATCACACAGCACGCGTGCGTGCATGCACACGCGCACATATGCACACACACGTTACATAGTAGACTGTAAAGTCAATCATAATCAAAGTCACAGTGCGCGAAATTAGCGCTATTTTGCCGTCGGTCACCGGCTCAACCCCCTAAATCACTGGTTCAACCTCCAATATAATCAGTCCACTTGGCCTATTCAAAATTTTGCCTATCTTGCCTTTATATCAACAATCCTTACCAATCTTTTGACTAGTTTTTACTTAGTGACTACTAAGAAGTAAATCATGTTCCAGCAATTCCTGTCAAACATGTAGAACTCCACTGATAGCAATGAAATACTGAAATACTACGAGTATGCCTAATAAACACCAAGCTAATACATTTATTAATAATGGAATAAATTGAACAAAGTTAAGGGCCTGTTCAAACTTGTAAGGGCCTGTTCAATTTGTCTAAGGGCCTGTTTAAAATTTTGGGTGGGCCTGTTCATATTTTGGCTAATTTCATGCCCTGAAGTCAAATAATATGGAATCCCAGTTGATATTAATTGGTTTTTAAAGTGGCATGATTGTATTCTGTTTACTTGCCTCACTATAGGTGCTTCAGTGAGTGGTACCATGGTGATAGTGTTTGTCCTGGGACTCTGTCTCCGTAGTTACTGTTACCATGACAGCCGCAAGCAGACACGTAAGTTGTCAACGTGCACCTAGATTTACGTTTAAAGTTAAATCTAGGACACGTTAAATGTATTGAAAGCCTCAAGCAAATCATGTATTATACTCGTATAATACCTTAATGGTTCTTTTTATAGGGACACATTAAATAACAGGTTGTAGGTAGTGATGGATGAGTAACACTGATATGCCTGAGGCACTGTTTACGCAAGCGAACCTGGTTTAGTAGGTTAATACACAAGCTCTTCAGCTTTCTGCACTGAACCAGCCTATTGACTGCTCAAAACGCATATAATAGATTGCAGGCAGTAGACCGTGCAGAATGCAGGTGAAAATATCCGTGACGAACAGTAAACACAGCTATGTTAGGACGTTAGTGGGTGGCAGCGTTTACGACTCCTACACTGTTTTATGCAGGTGCAAGTTCAGATCTGGTGCTTGGATGACAGTGCATCAAAATATATCTGCATATAGACGTAAATGACATATATATTGGGCTACATTTGTTAGAGGAAAGTGCTAGTGTGACACTGAATTTATAACTTGGTAATATCACTTTATACCTGTTTTTTTCATACTATCTTTCCAACTAGACTTGAAAGCTAAAAGACACCCTAAAGACACAGTTTGGCCTAATATAGTGAGAATAAGCAACAATAAACATATCCAGGATAGAATGTAAGTAGATATATAGGTCGATATTTTGCTATCTAATATTGCTTTAAAAATCATTGTAATAATATCAGGAGTAAGATAATATAGATCTATATTATCTTACTCCTGATAATATTGTGTCTGTAAACACTATAGAGATTTACATACTATTTATATATACTATCTAACACTTAAATAAGTCTAATGATGTTATCAATACGTCATGCCATGGATAATTCATCTGTATAAACGTCTTCAGCGTATATGCTTAAAGCAGTGTTATAAAATATGCTATATATTGTCGTAAATGCAAATATGTATCATGTTACAAATCATGTCAGTATCTAATTAAATGAGATAAGTGTGATCGAATGTGAAAATTACTGATTAAAATGCAAGTCTTACTTCAAGAAGACAATAATATATAGTTTTCATAGTATGAATCAGAATGTTACTGACTAACCCTACACAGGTCGCATGCTCCTGTGTATGGTGCTGGCCCACGCCAGGACGATGCCCACCTACGCAAGTTCTTGGAAATGCAAGGAAAGGCAGTTGACGTGCCTATGCGCAATGTTGCCACGCAGACAGCACCAAAGCCCAAATATGTAAGCACCAATTTTGTTATAACCATTTCTCTACCGACGAGCTCTAAACAGTTCTTCAAACCTAGTCACAGGTCGTCAATCCCGGACACACCCAAATTCAATCACCCATGGTCCATACTCTATTTTAAGAAACATTTGTTTATGTACAGTTTACCAAAAAAACATGAATGTTAAAGGGACTAGCTATGCGTTCAGACCTCAGAACAATCGAAGTGTATTGTGGATAAGAGAGGACCTCGTTGTGCCGACATGCACTTGGGGAGGAGGAGCCAACCAAATTACGTCAGAGGCACTCGCGCCCTGATACGCTCACACAGGGGCGTACACCGAAGTGA